AAAAAATAAAAATCCAAAAATAACGATTAAATTTGTTGGGGACGAATCGATTAGAGAATAATTAGAAAAAACACTAGACATTAGAAACCAATAAGAATTCAACGTTAGAATACGATTAGAAATCTAACCTCTTTTTCGATATTGAGAACTAAGTCCCCTTTTTGTAGAGAATGCTACAATTCTCGAAAGTCTCTAATCGTTTTCTAATCTTCTACCTAGTGATGGCAAGATTAATCAAATGAATAACGTTAAACGAGTCATTTTTTCAGAAAGCAATTAAAATCGATTCAGTTTTTTGTTCTGATTAATCATCATGAGTCATTAATCGATTAATCACGAAAATAATTGAAATTATAACAAGTTTAAACATGGCTGTCACTCAACATTTTCTTCATATCAGAACTTGTATTACCATCTCGCTTCAAAGCTATACCAAAATGGCAACCCTGCAATTTCTTGAAAGTCACATCACTGATGTCAGTGAAGGGACACATCACTATCTTTGTACATAGATTCGGAAAGGAATCGTTGGAAAATTATTTTGACTTATGGGCTCTTCATAAATCATTAGTTCATAACATTCCATTTCCTCAAGACGAGCTAAGTTCTTATTTGAATTGCCAAGTTTTAGACTGGAAACGAAACACTGTTGAAGCATGGGAAGAAATGAAGGCTGTTTATTCAAAATTTTACTGCTTTCCCACAAATATTCGCAATTGATTGGTACGTTAGTACCCGCAGGACGCATTTTTTCTAAAGCAGCGGCCATAGCTTCGGAAAGTCGATGCAGATTGACAACGAAAATGCTGTCAAAATTACTTTTTTAAAAGCTTATTCACATCAAATATTGTAAGTGAATTCTAGTTAGTTATTTCATTGTTTTAATATTGAAAACAAAGATAATTATAAGATTATAATCGATGAAATCGACTAATCGAATAATATCTAATAATTAATTGCAATTAATTTTTCGGCCCAAAGAAACTCATTTGAATTCGAGTCGTTTCTAACTTAAATGTTTGTTGGGTAAAGATTACAACCGTTATGGTCTCTGCACTTATCTCTTAAATCAGCTTTTTTACGAGATTCCGATTTCTTAATATTAATTTCAGAAGAAATATCACCCATTAAATAATATATGACTAAAAATGCTACTTATTTGCAGATCAACACACCAAACGCTGATAAAAATATCTATGGAAATTCGCAAGTGAATTCATCGTTGGAAATGACTCGCTTGAATAGCAACACAAACAATGAACAGCCGTCAATGTTTTCACAAAATCTGGAGCGAAGTTCATTACTCAGAGTGCCACAATACACGCTGCAAGATATGGAGTTTGTGGAAGAGTTGGGAGAGGGGGCATTTGGTATGCTACATTGCATGTTTTCACACTCCTTTTTGAATTTAGCTAAACCACTTTTTTTTATAGGCAAAGTGTACAAAGGGCAACTGACACAAATCAATGGCGATAAGATATTTGTAGCCGTCAAAGCATTGAAAGAAAATGCATCGCTTAAAACGCAACAGGATTTCAGACGTGAAATTGAACTTATATCGGATTTGAAACACGACAATATCGTTTGCATTTTGGGCGTAGTACTCAATAAAGAGCCATATTGCATGCTATTTGAATACATGTCAAATGGAGATCTACACGAATTTCTTATCGCCAACTCCCCCAGCGAAAATAAATCGCTGACACAATTGGAATTTTTAAAGATATCATTGCAGATTAGTGAAGGCATGGAATATCTATCCGGCCATCATTATGTACATCGCGACTTGGCTGCGCGAAATTGCTTGGTTGGCGATAAACTCACAGTGAAAATATCTGATTTTGGACTATCACGAGATATTTACAGCTCAGATTATTACAGGTAAATGTTCTGCAAAATTGATATACGAGTTACAGAAGGTAGCTTTTGATACATCGGAATTAAATTCGAATTCGATAACAATATTCTTACAGGGTACAATCAAAATCGCTTTTGCCAGTGAGATGGATGCCGTCCGAATCGATTTTATATGGCAAATTCACCACTGAGAGTGACGTCTGGTCATTTGGCGTTGTATTATGGGAAATATATAGTTATGGCATGCAGGTTTGTTTAGCTTTAACTTCATACATATAAAAATAAATGCTGACAAGTGCATTTAACATTTCAGCCATATTATGGTCACAGTAATCAGGAGGTTATAAATTTGGTACGCTCGCGCCAATTACTTTCATGTCCTGAGGCATGCCCAACAGCTGTTTATTCGCTTATGATCGAGTGTTGGCACGAACAGTCCGTCAGAAGACCTTCCTTCTCAGAAATCGCACATCGTTTGAAGGTGTGGCATCAAGGGCAACTCAAATTGAATTCCACACCGACACTATCAATTAAAGCTTCCCCGAATACTTGAAATTTAGTTTAACCAAAAATAATTGTACTTTTTTTATTACATAAGAAAAAATTAAGTAGTCTTTTGGTAGTATTTGTACATTTATACGTATATTGTATAACACATAAGGGAAAGACGAACACACATTTCATGCACATATAAGGATATTGAAAAATACATTAGTAAACTCATTCAAAATTTCTTGAAAATATATTAAAATGATTTTTATTAAATGAAAAATAATTTGTAATTTTTTAATCTGCAATGCGAGATGGGTATAAACAGAGTGATAGGGTAAAGAATTGGCGTGGTAATTTGTTTTTAACCGACTTCCAAAAAGGAGGAGGTTATCAGTTCGTCGGAATATTTTATTTTTGATTTTTTTTTGTATGTATGTTACCGCATAACTTTGGACCACGTCAACCGGTTTCGATAATTTCGATTTTGCATAGGAAAGGTAGTGTCTCAGTGGTGGTCTCATACTAATCTGGTTTACATCCGATCATTGGATCATGAAAAAACTAACGGTACTCCAAAATTTGTATATGAGAATTGAAGTTGGTTTTGTTTTTTGCCATCATTTCACTGATTATTTCGTTAATAATCTTGTACATATATATATGATAAAAAGTAAAAAAAAAAACATTTTAAAAATTTGATCGTAGGAACACTGAGAAATAAGTAAAATATTTGCATTGCCCCATTGAAACTCAAAATTTTGTAGTTGAAAATAGTATGCTTCAAAATTCATTCAACTTGTCCATGCAATTCGCGGTCAGATTGAGAAAAAGAAATTTTGTTTCCACGTGTGTACAGCCAGAAAAAAACTTTTCGGAAATCAGTTCCAGAAATAAAATTTGCAGGATGTGACTGCAACTGAAAGAACGCAAATCGATTTCGAAAATACATTTCTACTTGCTCATGCTGCACTAGCAATTTGAATATCGGTTGCGAGTGACAAATAATAACGGATAATTTTGAATAAAATATCAACAGCTTTTAATTAATTATTTTTCGGAAATTAATCGTTAATTAATTTTGAAATGGAAAATAAAATTAATTATAACCAAACAAACAACCAGTAAAGCGCTCCCGGTTGCATTTCAGTATCGAAAGATTGGAAGAAATTCATTAGCTATGTGAACTGCCAAAAAGCGATCAGAATTTTTTTTCGGCAATTCGCCTTTGGGAAATAAAAAACCTCTTTCGAAAGATACTTTACAATGAGAGGTGTGATTGCTTATGAAACCGCTTTCTGAAATATCTCAATTTGGCAGCTTTTTCGAAATAAATTGTATTGCCACGCCAGATAGAAATTCTTTTCTGCGTCACAGGGATGCTTTTGACCGACATCGAAGTTAATTCTGTGATTTTGAATAGAAGTAACCACATTGACAACGCATGCATTGCCGCAACTGATAAAAATTGCCCTACTTTCAACTTTTGACGCGCGTCAATGCGCAAAACAACAATGTATGGAATGAATTCAAACCAGCTGACTCTTGGCCAATCAAAATGAGCCGATTTGTTTGCGCCAACATTTTCATTGTGCCGCCTCGCCATGTTATGTGCATCTTGTCAATCAAAAGCGTAGAAAAGAATTTCTATCTAGCGGGGCCTTAAATCGTACTGAAAAAAAGTACAGTTGTACTTCAAATGTCATCACAGCTGTATATAAGCTTAACAGTACATATCATAGAATGTATAGTATACAGAACGATGTAAATCCGCAGTGCCACTGTTGGTTTGCATGTGAAAAAGGAGTTAGCTTGCATAAGAAAACCGGCAAACTTTTTTTTTGTTTCACTTTTATTTCGACATGTTTTGATAAAAAAAAAAAAAATACTGATAAAAATTAAATTTTTCATAAAAACAGGGTTGAAATCTTGAAATTCCTGCCCGTATTTTGTTTGTAAGTCAAATATGAGTGGCATTGTGCTACTATGATAGCACGGCCGAGTAATCATAGTCAACTTATGTACAGTAGTCGAAAAAATTATAGCCGCACCAAATTTTGACAAGTTTTAAAATATTATTTTTGTTGTTATTTAATTTCGGTTAGTTTTTTATAGTTCGTTCTTTACCGAATTCCGTATAAATACAAGTTTGAAGGCAGTGTAATTGAACACCCAAAATATTTTTCACTATCCCAATCACGAAAATTAATTTATTGAAATTTTTCAACAGAATATTGTACTAATCTTTTGACTACAAAAAAAAATGTCCCATTTTTTTTTACCAATAGCCTAATATAAAAATTTACAAATCTGTACAAATGTACCAATCGAGTGACACTGCCTTAAAAATTTATGCGATTAAAAAAAAAATTTACAAATTTTCGTTAAAATTTCGAGTTTTTTAATTAAATTCTGAGTATGCAGTTTTGTAGCCCATTGAATTCTGGTAGAATAAAGTACACGTTTCAAATGGCTAAAAATGTCGATTGATTTTTTTTTTAATTTTTAAAAGTTCGAAATTTGTACGAAAGTTTGTTGAATTTTTTTTTAATAATGTACAAATGAGTAGTCCACTTGCAAACAGGGTTATGTGTTTTTTTTATAATAGTAAGCCATAAATTAAAAAAAACCTACAACAACAAGTAACATCCAAATTGTATTTTTCCCCTTACTATCTGAAAATTTGGATAACCAAGAGCCTAATAACATTAAAAAGCAATATCACAGTGTGGTAGTTTTTGCAATTTTTTTTTTATAAAAATTGAATATAGCAAGTTTTGAAGCAATAACTTTTACATAGCTATCTTTTTTTAGGTTTTAGGGGCAGTGCAAGGGGGTCTTAAAAGTGGAATTTTCAATATTTTCAAAAGCTTATTTTTCGAAAATTAATGATAAAGATAATTGAAATACCTTTCATTATATATGTATGTATATCTATAAAAATAATACATACAAATTTCGAGAAAAACGTAATTGTTTTTCTTAAAAAAAAAAATACGTAATCCATTATAAGATATGTATGTATATCAAAAACATACATTTTTATTAAAAATGGCTATAATTTCGTTTTCTTAGTTTTCTCGGAATATGTGTAACTTATATGTACATATATATATGTATACATATCAAATGAAAGGTATTTCAATTCCCTTTCCAACCATATCCATTTTGAAAATCGGGTCAATAATTTTCGAAATATAAACTTTTTAAAATAGGGAATATTCTACTTTTACCACCCCCTAGCGCCGCCCCTAATAATTTGCACCAATATTTTTTATACAGTTAGAATCAATGGAAGAAGTCGAACCATGCCCAAACAATTTACGTAGTGAAATGAACTCGCAACGTTTTAGCAGTAGGTTTCCTAAATTATACCAGTGCTAGAAATTTTCAATGGAATATTAGTTTAGGTACTAAAATTTAGGTCAACTCGCACACAGCCTTACAAATCGATTTGGCTTCGAAATAGATATATATTACCCAAGCGAAAAGAGTTGTTTTGTCCAAAATTGGTTTGGTAGGTGGCACAAACAATAGTTTCAGAGTATTCTAAATAGTATAGATATCTAAAAGAATTCGTAAAGAAATTATTATTTCCTTTCAAATCAATTTTAAATTTATCGGCTTGTTCGAATTTAATATCACAAAATTTTGTTCGGAAAATTTGTAATTTTAAGTCTGATAAATTTTAGAATTGATTGGTGAGACTGGGAATGAGTGCACTGTGCACAGGTCGGTTTTTGTACGAAATTTCGGAAGAACAAAATAAAATGCTGTAACGTGAAACATTTTTTCAGATTTTCTTCAAGAAATTGTTCAGAAATATTTTTTCAAGTGCATGTTAATAACTCCATATGATTTTCTTTTAAGATTCGCTCTTACAACACCAACAATACCTAAGAATACATTGAATATACATTAGACTACATCACTCCCCATACAAAAAAAAAATCGCTACTATTTTTCCATTGGAATTATAAAATCTATTATATTTTAAAACGTCCACCAAAATATTTCGGAAAAATATTAAGATTTAAGTGAGCTGGACCGATTTGAAAATACCTCCAAAAATGGAGTTTTTTATGAATAAAAATAGCTTCTTAAAGATTTTTTTTGAAAAAATCCCCTCAAATGACAAAACGGCTTAAGCTTAAAAAATTTGCAGAAAAATATTTAAAAAAAATTGAACGAAATCGTAATGATGAGATTTTTGATGATGTTTTCTAACTTTTTTTAAAGATTGGTATAACAAAAACTTGAATAACTGAACCTAAACTCTTCCGATTTAGACTTAGGAGGTGTCGTAAGAAAGGTATTTTCTCTACCTTTTTATTTCTTTGCTAATAAATTCATTCAAAGGATGAAAGAGAAAGCTAGGATGAAGGAACGTCATTCACAGTCGAATTAAGATGTGTTGGTATTTGAAAAAAAAAATATTGGGACATGAATGACTTTTTGTTGGACAGAAATAAAAACAGTGTGAAAATACCTTTCAACTGAGTTCCCATAAGTCTAAATCAGAATAGTTTTGGCCCAGTTATTCAAGTTTTTCGTAAATCAATCTTTGAAAAAAGTAAAAAACAGCATCAAAAATCTCATTCTTACGATTCCGTTTAAAAGATTTTTAAATATTTTTATGCAGATATTTTAAGCTTAATCTGTTTTGTCATCTGAGGGGACCTTTTTCAAAAAGTTCTTTAAGAAACTATTTTTATTCATAAAAAACTACATTTTTGGAGGTATTTTCAAATCGGTCCAGCTCACTTAAATCTTAATATTTTTCCGAAATATTTTGGTGGATGTCTTAAAATATAATAAATTTTGTAATCCTGGCGGAAAAACCGCAACTTTTTTTGGTGATGCAGTCTAATATACATATGTACATATACGAATTTAATTTTGTGATGGCATTTTCGTAGATTTTACGAAAATCACACTACTATGGATTCAGTGGTATCCCCGAGCAAGGTGGCGTACCCTAGACTTAAGTTTAAAAATCGTATATACAATCCGATTTAGCTCATATTAAAACATTATTCAGGCAATTAATAACACTGGTTTACAGCGAAATTGTTCTCCAGACGCAACTATGCAATTCCTTTGTAGAATTGCTCGGTGATTCCGAAAATCGAGTTGATTTTTTTTCTATGGATACGTTTTCGAGATATTTGCAATTTACCATTATTCAGCTTAAAACAAAAATTGGTTCCTTTTAATCACGTACATATCGAGCCCTAAACGCCAAAATAACGTAAGCGACATTTTTTTCAAATTTTT